AATTAATCGATCTGGAGTCGGACTGTATCAATCATTCCGCCCAAATTCCAACCCACGCACCGCTACCAATCACGTCCAACAACACCCACCCACCATCTCTCTTCTCAATCTCATCTGATCGAGCGCAAGGGGCAGACAAAAAGTGAATTTTAACAATTCCAGGGGCATATCCGTACTTTGAGGGCAAGGCCGCAAGCCGTGATTATCATTAGAAGACAACCAAAAACCCTCGAGCACGGTCCCCTTCTCTTGATCTCCTCTTCTCGGTTGATCAACGCGAGAATCGAGACAAGACGAGACAATCCGCAAGAAAACCAGAGACGCTATCCCGAACACGCTCCGCTTCACACACCCTGTCTGCAGCTGCAGCCACCGCTGCCCGCATCGACGTACTCGTACCAAGACGCCAGATCCATACCTTTTTTTGCTTTCCTTCACACTACATGCAGTACGCCGCCAGTACCTGACAGCTACCTCCCGACCGCGGCTGGTCATCCTGCATGAACACAGACGCCGGCCTCGCTGGTTCAGGACACCGGACGCTCCAGAGTCTCCCTGGCTCTATCCCCCACTCGCAGTTGGTCGCCCGCGCCTTTCCTCGTGCGTCTGCGGTCCCGTAGCCGTACCAAACCACCATACCTTGCCAGGCACGCCAGGCTTGTCGACCTTACCAACTCCGCGTGCTTGCGCCAACGTCGGCTGGTCACGTTCTCGTTCTTGCCGCTGGCGTTCAGTACTAGCGAAAAGACGCGACCCTTTCCGGGCCTTTCTCTACACCCGATCCAGAGTGAGATCCTATCCCTTTCCTCGCCAATCCGCCGACACTCGTGGACCGTGGTGCAGCCCGGATCCCGATCGACGCACGGTAAGGGGGGCTCGCGGCCGCCCTAGTTCACCGTTTCCATTGTTCCTGCTGGGTCTGTCACAGTCACAGTCGCAGTCCCAGTTGCATCTGCCACCCGGACCCTCTTCTCATCCCATCTCACCGCCCGTTGGGTTGTTTGTACGTACAGAGTACTCTCGCTGTACGACTCTGCTTCTGGAACGGTACTGCATACTGCACACTGCACACTGCAGCCTTTCTGCTTGCTGCCCACCACACACACGCCGCCCCCGACCGCCCGCCTACCGCTGCAGTCAGTCCAGCAACTGTTCCGTGCCCTCTCCTGAATCCTGAGGCCGGTTCCGTGTCGTCCTGCGCTCGCGTGGTCTGCTGGTCTGGTTCGGGCACTTTGGTCTGGTCTGGCGTGGTCCGTCGACTACCTACCCGTAACCTCTTTCTTTCTCCCTGCGTCGCCATGGACGACTACGATCCAAACTCAATCCCCCCTATCCCCCAGCGCTATCGGAATCTTCAAACCCCTGAACCTCAGCCGCGGAACCGCTCTCTTCCACCACCTCCTCCGTCGCGCCACGCCGATGCCGTTTCCAGCTCTCCCGAGGTCATCTCTTCTCTCATCACCAGCTTTGCCGTCATAACCAAGCCCGCCGACCAACACTTTGAGCGCAGCACCCCAAGCTTATCAGTTCCCGCAACCCCTCGCCAGGGTAGCTTTGGAGTCGACTACGGCGCCTTTCACCAGCCTTCCCTCGAACAACTCCGGAAGGAAGACCTGCCCCTCGACGAGATCGCCGCATCCGCCCCCGTTATACGAACCGCCAAACCCCCCTCCGGATTCTCGCCCTTGACCGCCCCCAAGTCTTCACCCGCCCGCGACGGATCCGGCGGTCTCAAGTCCCTCTTGCGAAGTTCTTCAAGGCCCTCTTCCAAAGGCTCACTCGGGTCGCGGGATGATGCGCAGAGCATAGGTAATCTCTCGGTAGAACGTGGTTCTGCGCCCACCCCAGAGCTCAAAAGACAGCGCTCGTTTGATAGTTGGGGTAAGAAACAGGGTAGAAGTCACAGGGGATTGATGTACATGAGTTCCAAGGAGCGACTACGAGAAAAAGAAGAAAAAAAGCGCGCGAGTATTGGCGACCGCAGTTCCAGCAGTTTCACCGGAGCCTCCCTACGACCCGATCCCTTCCTCGCCGAGACGCCCATCAGCGAAGAACCCGCCTACACACCAGACTCGCCCACCCGTGGAAGCGCCCGCAAACACCAAGAAATGGCGAGCCCAGGCCCCGAAACCGCCAGCAGCCCTAGAGCGATACCCGCGCGAGACTCGTCTCTCTTCAAGACGGGAGCGAATGCAAAGAGATCATCTACTAGATCCTCTAGATCAAAGAGAGAAAGCGCCAATAGCACAAACGAAATAATATTTGAAGGAGAGGAACAGACCTCTTCGCGGGAGGCACCGAGGCGGAAACACTTGTCTCGCCATGCTTCCGAAAACGACCTCGCTAGAGCATCAGCCGACGCATCCGGAAGGTCTTTCAGCCGCCCATTCTTCGAGTCCAGGCACACCGAGAACTTTCTATCAACAGGACCGTTATTTGAAGAGGAGGACGTGGAGGATGGTGCACCGTTCCCTGCTGTCGCTCAAGGTCGTCGTCGGGATGAGCAGATCGCCGACCGGAATAGTAGGCGCAAATCAACACGCGAGGCCCCAGACGCAGGTGAAGCCATCAAGATGAAGCGCAGTAGCTCCAGGCTCAAGCGGCTCTCCCAGCCGCTGAGTCCCAAAGGAGATGAGTCGCAGGCGAGCTTACGCAACTCGGCAGCGTCGCCCGATCCACGCAATAGCATGCCGGCCGGGTATGAGCGTCCCCGCAGTGCAGACTCGATTGACGACGCCGTTGAGTCGTACCTGTGTTCTCCTCGCCTGTCGCAAAAGATCCGGCACCCGCAGACCGGGCGTGTGATTTCCTTTTCCGAAGTGGGAGATGCAGATGGCTCGGCTGTGTTTTGCTGTGTGGGGATGGGATTGACGAGATATATCACGGCCTTTTACGACGAGCTCGCGTTGACGCTGAAGCTTCGTCTCATTACACCCGACAGACCTGGCGTGGGCGACAGCGAGTCGTACGCCGATGGAACCGCGACGCCACTCAGCTGGCCCGATGATGTCTATGCCATCTGCCAGGCTCTGAAGATTACCAAGTTCTCGATTCTCGCCCACTCCGCCGGCGCCATTTATGCGCTGGCTACAGCTCTCCGGATGCCCCAGCATATTCGGGGTAAGATCCATCTGCTCGCGCCCTGGATCCCGCCCTCTCAGATGAACGTTTTTGGCACATCGCAGGCGCTACCACCAACCAACGCGATTCCTACCTCACAGCGCATATTGCGAGCGCTCCCAACAACGTTCTTGAAGGCCGCCAACAGCTCGTTCATGTCTGCGACAAGCAGTTCCATCACCAGCTCACTGCCCAAGAACCCCAGACGCAGCAAGCGCAAATCCACCGCAACCACTGGCCGGGACACCCCGGCGACGCATGGGAGCAAGCGGGACACGACACCCCACCTGGACAAGGAAAACCTTGGCTTGAATTTTGATCGCAACAGCACAGGCGACGACCTGTCGGGCAGACCCACGCTGCCCGCTACAGAGACCATGGATAGAATCAGACCAACTGGCACGGCATCGGCGCAAGGTCACTACGATGCTGATGCGCAGGTCATTGCTGCTGCGTCAGATGCGTTGATGGATAAAGAGCGTCAGACTATCTACGACACGAGATTAACGCATGCCATCTGGGAGCTGGCCACAACGGGAGCCAACCCCGCCGTCGACCTCCTGGTCTGCCTGGAACGCAGGCACACGATCGGTTTCCGATACGTTGATATTACACGTCCTGTCGTTATACACCACGGCAGTCGCGATACTCGCGTACCGGTTGACAATGTCAAATGGCTCGGCAAGACGATGAAGCGTTGCGAGGTGCGCGTTCTCGAAGGCGAAGGCCACGGCTTGATGGCGAGCGCTGGTGTCATGGGCGCGGTGCTCATGGAGATTAGCAAGGAGTGGGACGACTGGCTGCGAGCCACTTCCAAAAAGGACGACCGCGGCCGGAGAACCGGTACGCGGTAAAGGGGACATTGACTTTGATGTTACGGATTCCCCCATTTTACGGTCACATTTTTCTTTCTTTCTTTCTTTCTTTCTTTCTTTCGTTCTACTTTGGACACTTGAATGACCTCGAACCATCTACGATTTGACCTACACCTCTGATTTATATCCAATACCTACGTAGGGGGGAGTTTTGTAATTATTCTCAGGCGGCCCATGTACGATGTATGGTTGGATACCTTTTTGTATGGCATCGGCGTCGAGCGTCTGCAGGCTTAGGGCGGACTGATTGGTTGATTGGGAGTCCTTGGGGCGAGCTTCGAAGGGGTTCCGAAGCCGTGAGGGAAAAAAGAACCAAGGGCCGGCAGGGTCATTTCATGAAGCAGCCATTGTTTAAGAGCATCGCTCCATAGTATACAGCAGTAGTATAGCATCGGCTTGTTCTGTCGCACAGCAGCTGTGGACAAACACCGAGTAATGTGTTAATACGATCTCCTTTGTGGAATATGTTGTCCAGGCAATGTCTGATACCTTTCTTGTGACTCTCATCCTTTAATGTGTACTGGGCTGAGTACCTTGTTGTCTTGGAGTCTTCAAGGTCCATTGCCTCAAGCAACCCCAAGGGAAACCCAGTCAAGGCTATAGCCTATAATCCTCCTTGTGGAATCCATATCCCCCCTTTGTCGCTGTGCTCTTTTTTCCCTTTCCCTTCCAGGTTGTCTGGGTCTCATTCGCAATAGATAGTTGAGTAGAAGTTCACAGTGGGAGATTACCTCAAGTAAGCTGATGAAAACCAAATACATAAGACATCCCTCCCATAGGCACTTCCATACAAGTCGCACAACAGACAAACCTCCCCACACAAATTTCACCATGCCGCTTCCCGTCCGACTGATCTCACCCTTATCTGCGGCTGAGTCCCAGTGCGGATCTCGATCCAAGACATGTGCAGGCAAGCCCACCCGCCCCAATATCCACCCGCACATCCACACAGCCTCTCCCAACCAAACTTATTGCACAACAAGCCCCTGGATCATCATTAAATCAGGCGAAGTGCCAGAGTGGTTAATGGGTGTGCCTCGAATTAACTCTGGATTCCCAGAGCCTTTGTAGCACATGGCTTCGGTCGCGCAAGTTCGAATCTTGTCTTCGTCGATATATATTTTTTTTTGGTTTTTGGTGGTTTTGGCCGGGTCTTGGGGGATGTGTGTGGGTTTTTGCCCTTGGGAAGGACCCACCGCGTCTAGCTAGCTGTACTTCCAGTTCTTGCCTTATGCTCTGTTCTGATAGCCATGTTGTGTTGTGCCGTTGCTGGCCGAACTAAAAAACCAAACCTAGACTTTAGCCAACTTTAAGTGAGAGATATGAACCTTCCGCCAGGCTGGAGGTAGCAGGACACTAAAACAATAGATTATGGGCATTTATCTGTGCTCTCGGTTGTGTATAGTTGTCTTTTGTGAATGCTCATTGGAGTGGCTCTGAAAGATCACACCCCCTCCCCCTCTTTCTGCCGGCCTAGCTTTTAGCCCTTTGCTCCCTCTCCCTTCTTTTAATCTTCATATGCTCTGCTCACTCTCATCTATCCCTCCTTGTAATATTCAGGGCGGAAAAACTGTAAGACCAGTAAAGACCAGTATTGTCTGCAATATTGGGGACGGTGGGACTTAAGAAGGCGATCATAGCTGAAATCAGTGGAATCTAGAAAACTGTCTGCCGTCGACCAATTTGTAGGCTGATAAAATAAGATATTTCTGCGTAGGCTCAGAGACAGAGGCAGGTAGGATGTCGAGCCTGCAGTGTGTATGGCCAGGACGTACCATCTTGGAGCAAGCTATCGTGCCATGATTTTCCAAGACTAACTCCGGGCCGGTGCGACGGAGCAAAGTGGAGTCCAACAGTCCGCGATGAGACCGGAATGCAGTCCGGCCATGGGCGTTTAGGGAAACAACCTCCTTCCTCTAAGGTGTGCTTGACATTTGATTGACAACCTATATCTAAACATACGGAGAAACACCCTCAGACCTTACTCACTCATCTCAAGACACCCTGTTTGATGCAGCTATGGCGCTAATTCATGGTGGGACGCAACAATCAACACACCCATGCGACGCTACGTCATGGCTGCCAACGTGCGCCTGGATGATGCTGCTGCTGCTTATTTACCACGCGCCCTTCCATCCAACCGCGCAGCCCTATCACCAAAGCCACGAGTTCTTTGCCAAGTCGCAACGTCTGTCGCCCTTTTCAATCTTGAGACTTACATCTTTATCCAGACGTTGGCTTCATTCCCCTCGGTCGGACTCACTCAGTCGACTCTCACTTACACCTGACCTCGGCCACATCCATCTCATCTCAGAACAACAACTCAGCTCACCTGTCACACTCAACACCATGGATATCCTCCTCTCCCTCCCGATAGTCTCCTACTTCCTCGCCCCCTCCATAACATCCTGGACGACCTCTCTCAACCTCCTCTTCTTCTACATGACCTGGACAACCCTCGTCCTATCCCATGGACCCCTCAAGATCCAACTCCTCGGCGCTGTCGCCATCCGCCTCATCCTATGGCTGGTTCCCTCCCTCGCCTTCCTCCTCTTCGACACCCTCCTCCCCTCCGTCTCCGAGTCGATTAAGACTGCCGGCGCTGCAGCCCTCCCGCCAACTCACGGCCCAACCCTCCTCAAGATCCTCGCCCTCGCCCTCTTCAACCTCGCCTTGTCCGCCGCTCTCGAGGGTGGCACAAGCCTGGCGTACGCATCCTACTTCCACGAGCCCCTCTTCCGCGCATCCTCGGCACTGCCGCTGCCGTTCCAGCTCCTGAAGCACGTCGCCTTACTCATCGCCGCGCGCGAGGTCCTGACGTACTACATCCACACGCGCGTCCTACACTCTCGCGGCAGACGCCTCACTTCGACGCGCATCGGCAAACTTCATGCTTCGTACGCCCACGCCCGCGCCGCGCCGCCGTTCTCGCTGATGCTCTTCGCCGACCACCCGATCCCGTTCCTGCTCCACCGCATCGTGCCCATCTTCGTGCCGGCTGTGGTCCTTCGTCCTCATCTGTTGACGTACTTTCTATTCATTGGATTCTGTACCATCGAGGAGACCATGGCTATGTCTGGGTACAGCGTCGTTCCGGGTATCGTCATGGGCGGCATCACGCGCCGGACGGCGATTCACTACGCCGGCCAAGGAGGCGGCAACTTTGGTGCGTGGGGCGTTTTGGACTGGGCTCATGGCACGAGTGAGGGGCAAGACGTGATTGATGATATGAAAGCTGAGGCAGAGAAGCACCGGATCAAACAGCGAAGTGAGAGAGCGGCCAACAATGGTGTTGGATTCGTGCAGGGTGGCATCCAGGAATTGAAGAAGGGCCGGGGACGCAAGGGGAAGAAGAGCAACTGAGGAGGATTGCACAGGTTTCTTATCTCTTTCTTATGAGTTTGGATGGTTCTGCTGTGCGTCGAATGCATTTGCTTCTTATATGTTTCGAGGATACCCCCCCAAATCGCCAAACACGTCTAAGTATCTTATATATATATATACTGACGAAGTCTACACCAGACCGTGTGTTCCAGTCCCCCAGGTCCCTGATCCAATGCGCCCAAAGGCTGGCTCCTGTATATGTGTAAAAGCAAATCCAGGGAATCACAATGCTGCCTACCGCTCTTCTATGCTCAGTAATTCTTCTTCTTGAACCACTTGAGCGTCTCCAGCGCCGCCTGCACGCGCATGCCCAACCTGGCGTCAAATACAAACGCCTCCCACGCGACAACCTTGTCGAGCCACTCCTGGCACTCGTTCATCTTCTTTTTGCGGTAGTCCGCCACCGCCTTGGCCTGACCCTCGGCGTCTGCGGGCTCGTCTGCCGCGGCTTGACGCTTCTCGGGTTGGCAGCACTCGAACCACGCCACGGCGGCCATCTCGTAGTGGGCTGTCGGCAGGGGGTACTCGTCCTTTGTAGGGCCCTTGAAAGCCGCTCTGTCGTTTCGTTAGCATAGGCTTTGAGATTGTCACTCTCGAGTAGGTGACTGTCCAACATACCTATCTACGTTGAGGACTTCTGTCTGCAGAATTGTTCTTGCGTCCTCGAAGCGTCCCAGGGTCCTGTAGATAGCCGCAAGGCAAATCGACCGGATGGAAGCCTCGTCGGGCGTCTTCTTCACCTTCTCCAGGGCCTCGGCCGGCAGGGTACACCGCTCCCATCCCAGACTCTTGATCGACATATGCAGCTCCTCGTCGTTCATCCTCTTTGTACCGTTCCACAAGCTCACCATCTCCTGCGCAGGGCTGACGCAGACGGCATCCGCCAAATCGACCTTGAACTCCTTTGCGCGCTCCTCCCACTTTTGAATCTTGCGCGTGATGAAGGTATCAAACGGCAGCTGGCGCGCCATAAACTTCTTCCTGCCGGCCGTCGTCGGCGCCTTGCGGAACAGCTCCTCGGCCTTCTTCCTGCGCCGGCGCATCTCGTCCTCGTCCTTCTTCTCGGCGTGGAAGGCGTCGCGGTACAGCTCCAGTTCGGCGCACCCAGCCATGTAGTAGTACAGCGTGTGGCTCCAGTCGTTGAGCTCGAGGCAGCGGAGGAACGTCTTCTGCATCAGCTCCCAGTCTTGATGCGACATGGCCGCCAGCGCGAGCTCGAAGGCGTTGAGGGCGGTCACCTGACGCATCTTGGACTCCTGGCCTGTTGTGAGGAGCTGGATGGCGTCAGCGAGACGGCGCTGCTGCGCAAGGACGCGGGATTCCTCCACGCGCCAGAGGCGGGAGTCCGGGTACCGTGTCCGCATGGAGGCGAGGAGGGCCTCGCACTTTTGCGCGGGGTACCCGACCATCTCGGCGTTTGCGTCAAAGTCTCGTTCCGCGGGTGTGATATCCGCCTGGCCCAGGAGCCCGTTGTAGTAGCCCAGCAGGATCAGACCGGATACGGCGCCGTTGAGGTTGTCGAACTGAGTGCTCTTCCAGAGCATGCGCACGCCGCGCTCCCGGTCGCCCCGGAAGCCGACGACGTACAGCAGGCGGGAGAAGGCGGGCGGGACCATGCTGAGCATGAAGAGCAGCATGCCGAAGCACATGTTTGCGCCGCTGTGGATGAAGGCGTCGACGGGGTTCGAGAAGACGCCAGAGTCCGCGTCCGAGTCGTCGGCCATTTGCGAGGATACCTGCAGAGGGGCGAGCTTGGCGTCGCCCGAGGGTGTTGATGTGCCAGAGTCAATACTGAGAGCGGCCAGATCCTGTGCCGGTGCCTCCAACGTTGCTGAGCCGTTCACCTTCTTCTCCGCCGGTGTCACCGCTCCCGATCTGGGCACCTCGTTCGCGTCTACGAACTCAATGTCGCTGTCGGATTTGCGTTCCAGGTCGGCAAACTCTTCGTCGTCGAAGCTGCCGGGCATCTTCTCCTCGCTCATCCGTTGCCGCAGCGGCGGCGGGTCAGCCTTGTTCTTATCCTTCTCCAGTGCCTTGGCCTCCTGCATCATGATGCTATCAAGGGTAACAAACGCCTTGCGGAGCTTATAGAAACCCTTGAGAGCCTCCGTCAGACTCTCGTGCAACACGGCAACCACGGCCGCCATGAGCTGCGACTCGGCATGGATGAGTAAGAACTCGGTGCCCGGCGCGTAGATCCTACTGCTCGTGGTGTCCCGTTCGGCCTTTTTGTAATCCGCCCATGCTTTAGCTTCCGTGTCGGCCAGCCGTTTTGAGGCCTCGTTCATGACCTCCTTTTCGAACCCGAGCACGGAGCGGAGAAATGTCGTCATGGCCAGGCCCAGCTGGTGAAAGGCCGAGTCGCCCTTACGCAGACGCTCCTCGGCGCCGTCAATGTCGTCGTTCATGATGAAGGCGGCGGCTACCATGGCCTCTTCGATATCGGCCATTTCCTTGGCCGAGAGCTCCTTGGAGGAAAGGTTGACCGACGACGCGGCCGGGCTCGCATTGCTGCTTACCTTGCCCGCCGAGCGGAACCATGAGCCCAGTCTACTCATACTGGAAGTGTGATGAGAAAGGCCAAGAGTGAGTGTGTGTGTGTTTCCTACGGGCAGAATGCAACGTGGCCCAACTACAAAAAGAACAAAAAATTCACGAGACGGGCTGGTTGTCACTGAGTCGGGACCTCGGGAAGTCGACGGGGATGACTAGAAACCGGAAGTGCTCCGGCGAGTCGCTGACAGAGTGTGAGAGTGAGAGTTAGAGAAGCTCGCGGCAGGCAGAAAAAAAGCGCCGTGGATCCCCAGCGGCGGACTTTGGGCGCTGAAACAAACACGGGTCGAGAGAGTCCGAATCTGGAATGCCGATTGGCGAAGGGGATGACGTCTTTTGCCTACTTTGGCCGCCTCGTGTGAGTGAATGAGTGAGTTGGCTTGGTTTTGTATGCTTGTGAGTGTTTGTGAGTGCGAGTCCACCAGTCCGGAGCTCTCTGGTGGAAGCTTCGATTTCGTCCCTCTTTTTTTTGGTGGTGGCAACCCGGAGCTGGTTGGGAATAAGAAAACGGACGCAAGGGTGCTCGATAAATGGCGCTGTTCAGCGAGTATAGAGATGGAGACAAAGGCGTGGGAAGCTAAAAACTGAGATGGAGAAGTGAGAACCGAAAGCGGTCGAGAGCGCGTGCTCAGTCACTCAGTGAGCTTCTGCTGCCGGTGGGCCTTTTCCTTGTGAAATGGAGGAGCTCTCGGTATCAGAAGAGATGCCCGTATTTCCTCGGTATCATGGGGTAAAGGCAAGGCTGGAGGACAAGCTCTTGCTGGTGACGACGTTGATGTGACTGCTGACGATAAGGTGAGAAAGTTAGAAAGGCTGGCTCAGGAACAACAGCATGAGGTAAGGAAAGGGAACAAATAAGCCAAGCCACGGCAAGGTATGGTCGAGTACATGTATGGAAAAAAAAAAGAGGATTAGGTGAGCGGCAGCGAGTGAGAGCGCAGCTCAGTTGTTGAACAAGTCAGGGGTGCACGTACTGAACCAGTGGAAAGTACGCAAAAGTCAATACCTTCAGTAATACAGAGGCGGCTTCAGATGGGCCAAGAGTTCGCAACGGCCGTCATTGACAGGCAAGAGTGAGACTGACCAGGGGTGTTTTGACAAAGTGGGTGTGGTATATGCGGTGAGCGTTGCGCGTTGCCGTACAACTTACGAAGAGCTGCCAAATACACGTATCCGCGGCTCCAGGGCATGAAGAGGTAAGGTCAGAGAGGGGCGACCGAGCCTTAAAGCAGTTGTACTTTGAGTCCAGGTGACGTGGGGCACGAGGGAGGAAGGTCGAGAGAATGGGCTCGGATGGGTTCCTAGAGCTGGAGCTAAGGGTTATTCGTTCATGCGCCGGCGAGTCCACCGGTCGAGAATTGGGACGGGGGTGTTGATGGATAGGATGAGATGGGATAGTGCTGGTGCTGGTGCTGGTGAGTGTTGTGTGGATGTACATAGGTTTGTGTATATATTGAGTCTACGGATACGGAGACGACTCTAGAGAGAACGGTAAGGCGGTGCTGTAGGCAGATCCGGCTGCATCGGCCGGAGTAATATTCTCTTAAAGAGAGGCGCAGCTCCGATTCACAAACGTACCCGTACGGAAGTTATGGTGAGCTCTTTAGAAAAGGCTCATTAGGTGAGCACGCAGGGAAAGAGAAATTGGCCGGCTTTCTAAGCATTGAGCCTGGGAAAAGCGGCCAATTCTTCTGACCCCCGCGTGGTGAGTTAGGTAGGGCACCTTTACAAGAGAGTTGAGTGATGAATCACACAGCTCTCCTCCACAGCTTCAGGACCACTTTACCAGGGAAGATCCGCTAGTGAGGACCAGAAGAGAGACTGGACTCGCTGGAGAGAGTGAGCAGAAGAAGAAAGTTACGACCTGTGCAGAAATAGCGTCGTATTCCGTGCCTTTGAGTGGTGGCTGAGCCTGCCGCTTCCGCATCCGCATTCGCACTTTGGTATGTCCTTGATCCATCGGGCCCCAAGATATCCATGGATAGCTGGATAGCTCATTGATTGTCACTAATCCAACACTGCGGTCAGTGGGGGAAGGCCCCGGGGTTATCGGGTCGTTCGGCTGCTGGCAATCCCCGAGTTACATCGGGGGCGCGTGCCTTTACTCCCTCCGCTCCGGTCCCCATCAGCCACTTTCATTAAACAGTATGTTAAAGAATTTTCGCATCTTCACGAGTGAATGAACTTATTCATGTCGTCCGGTGGAATCGTTTCTTCCGGTCAGTGAAAGCCGTACGTAGCCACAGTGAGAAGCAGCCGTGAAGCCTGACGATGCATAAGAGCTAGTCTGGACTGATCCCTCTGGCATTCGCGCGTGGGAAGCGATGATTCAAAGTCCCCGAGACTCAACTCGAATCAACGCCGAGAGACGCCATTGCTAAGCAGCCTAGGGCCTGGGCATCGCCAAAGGTGCGGACCCAAGGTACCCTAGCCAAGAGATCATCCGCTACTGCATCTTGCATTGCAGGCAGAAGCTGGCGGCGTTTTCCCTGGTCCTTCTCCGACCGTCTGGTCAGCATGCACAGCATGGCTGACTTGATTAGAATAGGGGACACATGTCAGAAAGTCACATGTCCAAGGTTTGCCATGAACCTCAAAGGTGGAAGGGTATTAATGGTATTCTCGACCGGGTCACCTAGTTGAGAGAGAGTGAAGAATAGAAAACGTCCGTGACACTCGCGAGATGGTAAGTTGTATCTACGGCATCATTGAGAGTCGACTGATGGAAGTTTCCTTCGTCTCAACTCCCCAGACACCCGTTCCGATGCAAAGATCTGAGATGGCAAGCAATTACCCCTTCAGGATATGCATAACGTGCCCGGCTCGTCTTGTCCCTTGGTCCCCGGCCGCGTCGGTGCCTCGCAAGCAAGCCGCGCAACCCACACGGTAGCGGGCTCGCGTGCTCAGTCCCCTCAAGTTGGACAAAGTGCGCAGGCAGCGGCTGCCAAGAGGTATCATGGGAGAGAAAGGCGATGGACCATAAATCTGTAGAGATACAGGCACATACTAGAAGATGGACAGCTCCCTCATGTTGACTCTGAACGACACGGGCATCTCGCTTCTTATTCATTAACAGACTGGAGGAGATTGTTGAACAGTGTTGGAGTGGAGGCCTCAAGCCCGATTCACTCTTAGTGTTTGCTCTTGATGGTGATGCAATGACAATATTTGATCATCATAGATGTTCATGCTGCATCCTCATGCCAGTGGTCTACAGGTGCATTTCCAATTCTAGGTGTGAAAGGCTCTAGTTCACTTGAAGCTAAGCTTAGAGATCCCAATGAGATCGAACATGGATTCTGTGGTCGAATCTTGTCCTATGCTGAAAATAAAGGGTATTGAGCTTGTTGAGGCATCCCATAGCTGGGAGTATTGGCCTGCTCACATACTCGGTAATTCAGTTGCAGTTGGCACTGCTTCTCAAACACAAATTATCTAGCGAGGTTCTTCATCTCTGTATCACTGGGCTGGACAGCCAGCCACCACTTGGATACTAAGTCTATAAAGCAGACTGAAGAGCAGGAGTGCTAGGTATCTTTAACCAACAGGCTCCGATACCTGAATGAATCTCAATTCTCTGCTACCTCTGTTGAATAGTGACGCCGTGTGAGTGTTTACCCCGCTGCGTCACTGCCTTACCTTAAGCTAGGCTCACAATGGGTGTACTGCGTAGCTAGGTAAGGTAAGAAGAGCCGCCCTTGGCACAGCGACGCTCCGACCTGGCTGCCTCTGACCTCACCCCACCACGCCTCTGAGGCAGCTACCCCGCCATCGGCCGAGACACCAAGCTGACTACGTACTTTTCCGCCCAAACCAGAACACCACTGCCAATTTGGAAACGACATCGTCGCCAACATCATCACCAACCTCGACACTCTGTCTGCTGTTCCTGCTACCAACACCCGACGTAAGGAACTGCTTGAAACTATCACAGGCTAGATCTCCCCCACACATCATTGATCAACAGCTCTTCGACCCTCCAAAGCCCCACTACCCAGCTACCATCCAAGAGCTTACAACCTTGAGGGTTCCCGGTTCCCACTCGGCAAAGGTCACCGATCACCTACCCTTAACTCAGTCCCAGCATCAACACTCCGGAATATACAGCCAACACGCAACATTGCCCATCATGTCGAGCAAGCGCATCGCAAAGGTGCGCCAAACTACCTCCCCCGTATATCACCACCATCCCCTACTAACCCCCAAAATCACCAACCCAGGAACTAACCGAAGTCACCACGACCCCTCCCACGGGCATGACCATCACCCTCGCCCGCGACTCCGACCTCCACGCCTGGCACGTCGCCCTCACCGGCCCCGAAAATACCCCCTACGCAGGCGGCACCTTTGCCGTCCTCGTCGACCTCCCCAAAGACTACCCCTTCAAGGCCCCCGTCGTCAAGTTCGCCACCCGCATCTACCACCCCAACATCACAAACGACGCCAACGGCAACATCTGCCTCGGCATGCTCAAGTCGGAAAACTGGAAGCCCGCCACCAAGCTCGCCGCCGTCCTCGAGGCCGTCCGCTCCCTCCTCGTCGAGCCCCTGCCCGATGACCCCCTCGAGGCCCGCATCGCCGACGAGTTCAAGAACAACCGCGCCGAGTTTGAGAAGAATGCCAAGCAGTACGTCACGCGCTACGCAAAGGGCCCGGCTAGTTTTACAGCCTCCGAAGCGCCTGCCAAATGAAGCGGGCATCATGGCCAGTCACAGTACGATGTGGTTTGGTGTCATTTCCTAGCTACCGCGGGGCAGAAGAGGAGGACGGAAGCACGACCAGAACACCACAGGACAGAGAGTGACGGAGTTCCTGGGGATCCGAACCATTTTTTCTAGTGATTCAAGCAAAAGAGTATCAAACACGACGGCGTTGGTCGGTCCAGACAGTGAGCATTAACGGCGTTGGGGAGATGGGATTTCAAGTTGTTCCATGCTTTTCCCATGGATTTGGAATAGTCTCTAGACTTTCAGATGGCATGAGCAGAGCTTCGACAGCCAACAGTCGGTCCATTGCGTGGATCAGTAGTTGGGGCTGCCCCATATTATGCACTTCATCTAGGACGGCGTTCATATTAGATTGTTACAGGACGCTGAACCAAACTACTTATCATCACCTTCTGGAATTAACTTGACGGCATTGTGACAATCTGGACAATCGAAACTATGCTCACAACAGCTGTGTAGGTCGATAAACGAACAGCACTAGTTATGAAGAATCGCAGGAATCAATGACACAAAGAAAAGCTTGAGCATTGTGTGATGCTACCAGACATCGTATCTACAACTTGGTAAGACTGTTCTTCACCCATTCGGGCACTTCCTCCACATATGTTCTATGCCGAACCAAAAATCCAATATGCTGTAGGCGTCACCGCGCCGCTCTCTTCTAGAATGATATCCGTTTTCGCTTCCCAATGGTGCCGCATGCCATGTAGTCATTACCCTTGAAATGCAAATATTCCCTCAAACGCCGTGGCTTAATGCATGCATGCAACTTTTGTTCCTCCTCTGTGGCGGGTTCACGATACCTCTGCTGATCTGCCCAGCCTCCTACGTCCAAAAATGGTGCCTTTCCTACGAACCTCTCCCTCGGCTTCGGTAGCGTTGGCACTGTCCACGGCGCCTGCGTACGTGGCGGCTCTTTGATGCTCTGTCTGGACTTTTACGCGTCTTTCTTCCCGCTGGGTGTCGATTGTATCTTGGCTTATATGCCCAAAGCCGTTGCGACGCTTGAAACAAGCCTCCATCAGTCCATTGGCGTCCAGCAGCTTGCGAGGCATAGCCTGGATCACGGAAAACATCTCCATGGGATCCGTGACAGACCGAACCTCGTTTTCTCCAAGCTTGAAGATAGCCAAGGCAATGCGGAAAAGAGTCTTGGAGCCTTCGTAAAAGATGACGTCCCATACGCGCAATGTGCTCTCAATAGGCAGGGTACCAATGAAACAGCTCATAAACCACGCCGTCATGCAAAGTGTGATGGGGGGCAGACGGTTGGACGAGATGCTGGGTTGGTTCTTCCTCCTGACCCTCGGCTTTTTGACTGGCTTCACCGGCCGCGCCGAGTTCGGGTCGCCTTCCATATCGTCGCCAATCTTGGCCCAAACAGCAGGCATTGACTCCCTAATGGCATTCATCAAGACACCGAGGTCCACCTTGGAGCCTTCGAGACTCATCTCGTGGGTGCCGGGTAAGTATAGGCGGGTGATGACATTCAACAGCCAGAAGGCCTTCTCTTCGGAGTCCATGAACAGAAGAAGCAGGCCAGCTAGGAAATTGAGACTTTGGCAGTATCCAATGCGTGGGTTGTAAATAGCAAATGCGTGCAGAACCCGTCTCAGGGAAGTAATGATCGCAGGCTCATTCTTGGCCTCGCTCTCGGAGTCGTCCGTTGATTGGACGTCTCGAGTTGGCTCCGTGTTTGGCTTCGACGCCATGCTTGCAGGCTTGAACTTGACATTGTCCGGGAAGGTCCGGTGAAGATCTCGCTCAATAGCCTCGACATCAATGTCTTTAGCCTTCTTCTGCAGAAGAGTGTCGTATAGACCCGAGTGTTTTGCCAAAATGGCGGGGCCTCCTGCGTAGTAAAACCAGGCAGCCCCTCTCCACTCAGGTGGAATGCCTTTCCGCACAAAGCGTTTCGCCTTCGCACTATGGGGAGGGAATCGTTCAGGTTCGTTCGTCATCAGTCCACTCTCCTTCATGAAGGCAGTCCACTTCTTGCGTCGTCGTTCGAGATAGTCAGAGTAACCCTTGTCCCAGGCGTCATACTGTTTTCTGGTGATATGCTGGTTGGCCTTCTTGAAGCCGTATCGGTCTCGTGCGCCAGGCTCCTCGGTTTCGACCGGCTCGGGATCTACGGCCGTTCGCGCAGAAGAGGCTGATGGGCTGTTCAGCTGCGGAGACGTAGCCGGTGTGTCGGCCTGGAGAGACTTTGCAGAGTCACGCTTCTCATTAGTATCTTTATCGTCGTTTCGATCATAGTCCGCCAAGCCGAGCTCCTTCGGCAAAGAACCTGGGTATTCGGATACCCTGAACATCTCGGTCGATTCGCGAACAATGGTGTCCGAAGTCGGGACAGTCAATGAGCTGGCGGCAGGTGCGGTCAATGGTTGACTCAAAGCCTCCAACATTCTCGTGTTCCGCCTGTTGATCTCCGCCGCCGGAACGGGACGCACGTCGTCGTCGTCGTGATCCTCGGGGCTCGAGTCGTCTCGGAAGCCCTTTTCGTACATCCCCATAACGTCGTCGACACTAAGCTCCTCCCCGTTAGCGTACAGCGATGGAATCGAGCTATTCTTGGTGAGAACACTGCTTCTTTCCGTCACGTACGTTCCCTGTGCACTGGACGCAGTCATCTGGGACCGATAACTCGATCTCATTTCGTCTTCACCACTCATCCATGGCGCCTCCCTCGCATATGTAGATAGACCAGAGCTCGAGCTGTCGACGCGGCCGTAGGCCATTGGAGGACGGGTGAGGCCTGACGGAGGCGGGGCACTTCGCAGACGAGAGGGGGCGCGAGGCTCATAGAGGTCACCTCCCGATGCTGGAATCGAGGCAAACGTCGAGGCCGACCTTGCAGATGATCCGGATTGAC